TTGGAAATGGGCTTGAATGAGCTTTTTGCCAGACTAACTTTCAGTGCAAATCTAAATTTGCTGGAAGTTGTCTGGGTTTTCCCAGGCTAAGCAGGTGAGTCTCCCTATAACAAATCTTCACTTCACTTCACTTACATACACCAGACTTTACAGTTTTATTCCTATCAATATTCTGACGTTTTTTACACAGACAAAGATATTTTTGTGCAATTATTAATTATAATCAATTAACTACGGTCCTATTGTGATATCGGTTCATTGGGAACCTTGGCTTAAGAGTACATATTAATATTCTAAGGTACACAATGTAACCTGGCTATTTTAGAAAATGGCATGTTGGATTTAGATGCAATTTAAGGGTTTATTTCTCAAAATAACAGGGGTAAATCCAGGCGGAAAACATGAGTCCAGCCAAAGAACAACCAGAACTAAAACAAACACACATGATACATCCAAGTTGATACATGATACATCCATCACTAGACAACGAATATGAGCAATACTGGGGTTTAAATACACGCAAGGTAAGGAGGGGCTGATGAGGAACAGGTGAGTGATTAATTACTTTGGAAACTTACTAGGGTAACTATGGCAACAAACAAGGGACAGCAAACACAGGCCGGGATCATGACATTCAGGCCCCGTTTACATGATGGGAAAACGCAGATATTTCTCTGCATTTTGCCCTCTCATTTACTAGACTGATCTCATGAAGTAGCGTGTGTATGACACGCCAATTCGTATTTTCATTTTTGGCGTGCTATCAAGACGCATAATCGCCTTTCAGCGTGTTTATGAACGCCGTTGACTTAACGTTATATAAATATATGACTTACCTCAACCCCGTCCCTAAACCTAACCGTCACTGGGGTTAATGGCATTTATGACTGTTCCCTTACCATCCTAGGTAAAAAAAAGATATGACTTACCTCAACCCCATCCCTAAACTTAACCGTCACTGGGGTTAATGCCATTTATGACTGGAGATTTGACTGCGTGTTCAGACACGTGGAATGACGCGGACGTTAATGGCGTAGACATACACGCGGACACACGCGGATAGCACAAAATGCGTGGAGATAACACGCCACCTGACTCGAAAGTGGCGTATATGTTTACGCAAAAGTCATGATGTCATGTTGCATTTACACGAAAACGCCGTTTTTATCACTGAAAACGATTATTTCTAAAAACTCCGGCCAAAGTGGAGATTTCTGAAAACGCGGGTTACGTGTTGTCGTGTGAACTGGGAGAAACAGCGTTTTAGGTTCTCTCTTTTCGTTTCTGAGGATTCTGATTGGCTTAAATGGCTTTATCCTTAACCCCTACACTGCCGCCAATAGGTTTGGCATAGTTATGATGGCGCTCGATGGCGTATTTATGCGGGTGTGTAAACGATGTTATTTTTGAAAACGGAGAGGGTGAAAATATTCGTTTTGCTAAATACCCGGCTTTGTGTACACGAGAACGCTCGCGGGTGAAAATGTAAAAATATTTTATCGGATGTGCCTTTCGTTTACACGGTGACAGCGTTTTTGAAAACGCAAAAAGTGAAACTGTCACTCCACTGTCACGTTCCCGTGTAAAGGGTGAAAAAACGCAAAAGTCTGCTTGACAGTGAAGGTTGTACACGGGCGCACAGACTTGGTGTTGTTGTGTGGCAGTGCTTCACATCGCCACCTAGCCGCCTGGAGTGCATACTACATCGAATTTCTCACACTTTTTCTTCACCATATGCACGCAGATTTCCCACCCATAACGCTCGTCTAAACGCAGAATAAAAAGTGATAATGCAATGCCACTTTTGCGTTTTCTCTTCAGATCGTTTAGACACTAATAATTAGAGATTGTCCCTTCAAGGGTGCTGCCCCAGTGACAAGCTGTTATACCTTTGTGTAATAAAAAATCTTGAACATTTCAACATCCAATTTCGAAATATGGAAAAGCGTAGCGCAGACATACTGATAAGCATTTCATTTTGTGTTTCACTGAAGAAAGAAAATAAGAGGGGAACAATACAGAGTTGCAATTGCAGTGTCATATTTTGGTTAAACTATTCCCTTTCCTGCAATGTAGAAACTAACTTGTGTAATCATTTATTAGATATGTTTGATTCTGTTAGGATATCTTCTGTCAGTTACAGTAATGGCATGTGTCACCTCCTTTATAGACAAGTTTGATGAAGAACTTCCAAGCACCAAGGAAACACTGGGGGGCCACTCAGATGAGCACTCTCTTCGTCAGCCTCCTGTTTCTACCCTCCTTCATTGGAGCCCTTATGTGTGTCATATATACAATGTGGAGGTTTGTCTCTTCAGAATTACATTCACTCTTCACTGGAAGAAAAAAAAACTATCACTTTCAATAAATTGGCGGAAATGTTTTCTTGTTTTAAGCAAAAACTAATTTAATTTAGAATTCGCTTGCATCATTCATGCCATATGTCCTGAACACAAAGCAATTGATTTCAATAATAAAGAGACATTAGAGGCAGTGTGTTTTGTTTGATTGATCTGTTTTCTTAGGATCAAGCCCTCCTCACATTGTGGGCCCTTCAGGAGCTTCCACAACATGCTCCTCTTAGCCAAGCATTGGTTCATCGAGCTGGGGAACTCGGATTCCAGTTTGTACTGGCTCGGCAGGGCATATATTCACTTGGTGGACAACCCTTTGTTCCTCTTCATTTTTGCAGGCCTGTTCCTGTGAGTTTTCCTTGTTCATGGGACTCCTGGGTGAGATTTGGTCATTTTTTTAACCTGCCATCTCCATCTCTTTCCAGAACCCTTATATACATTCACATGCAAGTTTTAGATGGCCAGAAGTTAAACATTGGAAGGTTACAAAAACAGATAGACCATGTGAGTATAATGACCCTTGTGGAAAAGTACATTTTAGGAGTAAATATTATGGAAATAATTTGTGAACTGAATATAATGTTTTTGGGGTTAGGGGTTTTCACAGCCTAATGATTTCTTGCTAACATCTCTTCTGTCTTCTTAGGAGGGTGAAGATAAGAAGTTCCTCATAGCTAAACTACAGGCCCTCAATGAGGCAATTGCTCAGCAGAAAGGTGAGCTTTCAGTCCTTCCTTTTAAATCAAATGTTTTTCTTATTCTGCTTGGTGTTCATCATTAATGCCCAATCATCACTTAATTAATCACTTAAAGGAGTAGTTCACTTTTGAAAAAAAAATTTGCTGATAATTTACTCACTCCCATGTCATCCAAGATGTCCATGTCTTTCTTTCTTCAGTCGAAAAGAAATTAAGGTTTTTGATGAAAACATTCCAGGATTTTTCTCCATATAATGGACTTCAATGGGAACCAAACGGTTCAAGGTCCAAAAGACAGTTTCAGTACTGCAAACTGTTCAAAGGGCTTTAAACGATTCCAGACGATGAATAAGGGTCTTATCAAGCGAAACGATCGCTCATTTAATAAATAAATAACAAAGTTTAAGTTTTATAAGCTCAAATGGTCGCCTTGCTCTGTTCTGTGATTCGCGTTCGTGACTCTCCTGTTCGAACTCGTTCATCAAAATGAATGAATCTTTTTCTGAGTCAATTTGTTCGTTTCGTACGTTGAATGAACCAAATGACACGAAAAATATTTGTTCATTTTGATGAACGAGTTTGAACAGGAGAGTCACGAACGCGCATCACAGAACAGAGCAAGGCGTCCATTTGAGCTTATAAAACTTAAACGTTTTTTTATTTATTTTTAAAATGAGCGATCGTTTCGCTTGATAAGACCCTTATTCATCATCTGGAATCGTTTAAAGCCCTTTGAACAGTTTTCAGTTTGTACTGAAACTGTCTTTTGGACCTTGAACCGTTTGGTTCCCATTGAAGTCCATTATATGGAGAAAAATCCTGGAATGTTTTCATCAAAAACCTTAATTTCTTTTCGACTGAAGAAAGAAAGACACGGACATCTTGGCTGACATGGGGGTGAGTAAATTATCAGCAAAGTTTTTTTCAAAAGTGAACAACTCCCAAGTATTTCATTAATTTTAACTCTGATTCAGTCTCATTCTCAATGGACCAAATGTTCTCTGAGCAGAGTTCATTTACCTCTGTAGATTTTACTGTGCATGTTTGACACATGAAGACAAATTCCACAACTTTTCTTGCGGTTGATTTCCTCCTTGTGAACAGGTGTTTCAATGACCCTATCACCTGCTGATTACTTGTATTACCAATGAAGGCTGGATTCTACAGAAAAGAATTTGGAAGAGTACATTGTAACCCCCCACCAATAAACCAAACATAAAACCTGAAAAACTGGTGCAGCTTATATAGAAGGAAATCAGATTACCACTGCATTTTGTAGTTAGCAAATGACACTGATATTTAATAGTGCCACTACATGGAAATGTTTGCTTATGGAAATGTTTTTGTCAGTTCTATATCTATTTTTTTGTGTGTGGTTGAAAATGTAGTGATAATTTTTAATAATTTGGAGAACTGTTTCAGACAGGCTATGAATACAATGTAGTAAAAAACAATATACTAAAAAGTGTGCTAAGTATACTACAGATACGCTAACATATTTATGTGCCTAATTTAAATGCTCTGCAATTGTACTTTTGGTCTTAAGTGATATTTGTTATTTGAAGTATATTTAGTATGAAATAAATGTATTTTAAATAGATTTTGGTGTATTGAGATTTACTTGGTGTATTGAGATCTTCTTTGGAGGTCAATCAATAAATAAAATCTGTAAATGGAAATTATTTGTGAATTACTGATTTTTTTTTAAACTACTATTCTTGTTTATCACATGACTTTCTGAAATGCGTGTGTCTGATTGGTCAAATGTGGCATTCCATCTACATCTCTTTTTTTTTGTTGTTGTTGCTATATTTAATTTTCACGAAAACTGAGGACATTGTGATGTATAGAATGCGGTAGTATGTAGTAAACCTACACTGTAGAGGAAGTTTTGACTAAATTCTGAAGAATTGTCACATGCTCAGAAGTTATGTGGGAGGAGTTTCTCAAGTTACATCTCTGACATCCTCCTTATAAAAAGCTTTGCAAACAGCTACTCTGATAAGCTACTTTGAAAGGTGTTCAGGCATTTGAGGAGCGTATACAGGTATGTGCAGTGTGAGTTTATTTTCCTCTTGTAATTTAGCCCTTTCCCACTACTTTTTACATTTTCTGCATATGTTATTAATTTGGTTAATTCTGCTGTTTTTATTTTAAATAATTGCATGGTTCATCTGTTAATAAGCTTAAAAATGGTATTGTACTGTATTCATTCTGTATAGATATAGAGTTTAATAATGGAATCCAGAAAACGCGTATACATCCGTCTTCCAGAAGAATACAAGGAATTTCTAAAATCTGGAGAATGGGTAAGCTGAAGAACTGAAAAAAAAAAATTAAATAATAAAAAAAGGATTTTCAGAGCCATTTTTACCTTTATGAGGACATTTACCACATTAAAATTTAGAGTGACACTCAATAATATTAAATAAATGTCTATTAAAATGCCTGTTAATCCTATAATTAACTCAACAGTAGTAAACTAGGCATAAATAATTCACAAAACAACAAGACTCAGCATTGTCTTATACAAATAAAACAAAGAAACAGACTGCAATCACATTTGTTTTGAAGTTGAATGCTACACAGATAGGTGTGATATGTTAGGACGGCCAAAGCAATGATCAATTTCGGGTTAAATGGATATTATCTGAGTGCCATTCCATAAACAATGGCTTACAACGTCTTAAACTGTCATTGACTTTCAGTCTTTTTGGAGTGCAAGTTTAAGATTTTACCTGAGATGCTTAAATAATGCTACATACATACGTGATTTTGCAAATGGATGAAAGTAGGCCATGCAATTTGATTGATACCATCTTTTCCACCTTTCCTCACAGGACCATGGGATTGTTGTTACAGATCTGAATCCACACGTGACCAAAGATGATCTTCACACCTACTTTCAAAAGTTCGGGACAATTATAGAATCTGATGTAAGTACTAATAACCGGGCACTTTTAACAGGCCTGATATGTTACATGGCCAAATGTGCATACGTACACCCCCACAAACTCTAAACAACTTGTCTCTATTATACATTATGTGCGTTGGACTTTGTTGTAGCGTGTGTATCTGATTTTAAGTGTCTTATTTGTAGATTTTTGTTGATGACTAGTCCTCATTATTCCCATCTGTGTGTCCAAAAAGCGGCGAATTACATCATCTAGCGGCATTTAGAGACTTTCTGGGCATGGAAATAGTTACAAAACACTGTTACCATCATAATTTATATCATTAAAGTCTCCCTGCATTTAGATCTGCCTCTCCCTGGTTCGGGTCTGCCTGTGCGTTAGTCTCATTCGGTAGATTGGTTCTTGTTGCTTTAGCAAAAACAGACCAAATTAATTGTCTTCAGAAAACTAGCTGAGATTTATAGTTGAGTTAAAAAAAAAAAAAAAAAAAAAAAAAAACACTAGCTGAACTCAGTATGTTGGGTCAAACATTCAACCCATCCAGTTGCGTCAAAACAACCTAGTGTAACGTGCATGTTCAGTTTTGGTTTCGTTTCACTGCTTTCTTTTTCTTTACCTCCAAGTCTTCAGTGCGAGATGCCCATAAAAACCCAGCGTTTTTCAGCTAGGCTCAAAACTAGGGTACAAAATAGCCTATTACTTATTCATTTTGATGTTTTTGAATGCAAAAACCAAGCGAATGTCATAAGTTGACCTCAGACAACAATATAATAACATTTAAAAAGCCAGTTCATGACCCCTTTAAAGCGTATTAATAACGCCACATAGACATATATACAATAAAAGCTTTATTTTCACCACAGGGGGACTTTAAGCCATGAGTTTCCTTTGTTCTGTGTCCGATATCATCTCTGTTTTATGGTTGTGTTCTCCAAAATATTATTAAATTCAGTATATTTGACAGAATCTCCTGCACGGTGCGCTTTATGTAATGTCGGACCTTGTCCGTTTTTGACCCAGTACATGGCTCAAAATTGTGTTTTTAACACAGCTTTTTTAGTGTGTAGCATACTTTGCCACCCTTCTCTTCATTATCTTGTATCTTTAGTGTAATGTTTAAATGTGTTTGCATACTTTTCTCAATGAACAGATCACGATTGACATGTCTTCAGGATGGCCGAAGGGTGTGGGCTTTGTGATGTATTCGTCCTCAGAGGAAGCTGAAGCAGCCGAAGCGGACGAGTCACCAAAACTGGGAGGTTTTCCGATATTGATCAACAAAATTGTTACGCCAAAAGTGAGTCAAAATACTGTTTGTCGCATGGGGGCGTAGACTACTTGATTAGACCTCCATTACGGTCCAGATTGGCTCGGTTAGTTGGACCATATCCATCACCAGCCAAAAATGGTATTTCTGATTAATCAGGTTGACAAAGGGAAGCCTGCTAATTAAGCTAGCTTAGCATGTAGGGACACCAGCTTCCCAATACAATAACATCCATTCATCTCAACGGCAGTTGCCCGTTATTTGAGCTGTAAAAGTAAGGGGTTCAGGACTCTTTGCGTTTATTCGTGTTGTCATGAATCTGTAGTCCCATGCAGTGGCATCACAACGTTAACTAGGTCAGTACAGTACGTCAACCCCTGTACAGTTTATTGCATTGGGAACCATCAGAAGAAATTATGGTATGGGGTAGAAAATTGGTGGAGATTGCGGGGACGTTCGGGAGAGATTGTTATGGGCCGTTCCCCCCATAGATATCCACAATAAAGGATGTCTTACGGCGGAGTTTCTATCGTCATCACTGGCGGCCATCTTGTCACAGGCAAGCTGAGAACACAAATACTCTTATCTCGTTGAAATCTTGACGGATTTACAAACGGTTTGGTTTCTTACAGACATTATTAACGTGGCTATAATTCTGGATGATTATTTATTTATACACTTATTATTCATAAGTATGCAGTGTCATAACACTAAAACACAATGTCATGAGTGAGCGAGCTGCCTGTGACAAGATGGCCGCCAGGTGCGGACGTCGACCTCCATTGGCCAGCAGCGCGGACGAGACATCTAGCCTTTATTGTGGAATTCTATAGTTCCCGCCGCACACACTAGCCACACCCCTGGTCACATGGCATTTTATGTTCAGGTGATTGGCTCAAATCAACCTAGCAGCAGAATTGTACATCTCTGAGTAGCCATGAGCAGATTTCATAGCACATATTTCTGCAACTGCCATTGAGATGAAAGGGGAAAAAAATGGATAAATAACAAAAGGATTGTTGTTATTTCCAAGTAGTAGAGACCACTGAAAAGTCAAGTAAATAAAACAAGAAAATACAAAAATTCAGACTTTAAAATGTCTCATTTAGTTCAATGTGCTACTTGCTGTTTCTTTGTAATCATTTGTGAAATTGACTCGGCAGGAATCAAGTTACTTAAGTATGTGTTTGTGCAGAACCGGTTTGACATGCAGTTAAAGACTCCTCAATACCGATCCGTTCAGCCAGACCTGTGTGTGAACTAGAAGAGGAATATAAGCACTGATTGAAGGACTGATTTGCACTTTTACTGGAAGAAATGTGAACTAAATGTTGCTGTAATTCAATGTAAAGAGTTTAATTTTATACGTTCATTATAAGAGTTTAATTTTATACGATTACGATTTATATGATTAAAATCCTGTTTGATTTTGTCTATGAAAATGATCACTTTTTTTTACGTATGCCTGAGATGTTGAATAAATGTGTCCTCAGAGCAGTTCTGGTGTCTTTTTGTTGAGAAAGATATACCTATATAGACTTGAGGGTTATTTTCAGCTTTTACAACGCAGTGAGATTTTAATTCGAGTTTGAATGTGATAATAATGGGAACTATAATAATTTAGAACAGTGTCATAATTATTTTTATACATATGAGTGCTTCTGTGAAAAGTCTTTTTTTATGGCAATTTCCTCTGAATTTGTGAAGATTAAAATGACTTAAAATGGGATTGTTAATCTTAGCTCAGTCTTTGCAGTTAAAATATATATATATATTCTACCAGTGGGAGCATTTCGTTTCAGTTTGTATTAAAGTATCCTCTTCAGATAATGTTATTCTCACATAAATAATTATTGAAAAGCCTGTTAAAAGGTTTTTAGGGGCATCACCTTGCTTAGCCCAGTTATCGTTTGCTTATGTAAATAAAGATGTTTTCATATTTAGTTGATAAAGTATTTACTCTTGCAAGTGTCCCCCTAAAAACGAAAACAAAGACATAGGCTTGCGTGTGTTTCTAGGCAGAATGGGAGTAAAAAAAAAACTAGAGGTGGAATGACATGGGTATTTTGTAGAGCCTGTTCTGAGGAAAAATTACGTTGCTTATCGCCATATTTCATATTATAGTGCCACCTAGAGTAAGATGGGTGTGTGTGTGTGTGTGTGTGTGTGTGTGTGTGTGTGTGTGTGTGCAATTGGTGCAAAACAAACCAAATCTTAAACATTCATAAAATCACAGTTTGACCTAAAAATATCAAAATTGAAAATACTGTGGAAACAAAGACACCTACATCTTGGATGCCCTTGATGTATAAAACGTATCAAAAATTAATTTCAAAGTGAACTATCCCCTTAAATTCATGACATTCCTGTCAAAACACAAAAGCGTTTCCATAGCTTGTGTCATTTTGAACAAGTAAAATAAATACAAAAGTTATTCCAACACTTACCCTAATTGATGGATTTTCATGTCTTAATCGTGTAAGAAATGAACGTGGCCTTCAAACGTTTATGGATATACCCATAGACCATTTCACAAGATGTAAACAACACTGGTCCAGAAGCACTTCCTGTTTCAGTTTTTTAACACTACATAAATGCTGGGATAAAATACAACCTACAGAACATTTAAAACTGAATCAAAAAGTTAAACAAACATCTTTAAGATGTTTTCTTTACATGTGAAATAAAGAAAACAGTTACAAACTGAGACAGGAAGTGCTTCTGGACCAGTGTTGTTTACATCTTGTGAAATGGTCTATAGATATCATATAGAGACTGATGTATCATATAGACTATGATGTCTATGGATATACCATGATGGGGAAAAATTAGAATGATAAACGAAAATGAAATCATGGCCAAATTTCAGGATGACAATGTCAATATTCACCAGGCTTACAAATGCAGCAGCAGAGTTGGATGTGTGATTTGGTGCTGTGCTTGTGCGCTAGAGGGCAACCGCCTCATTTACATCCATCCAGCAAACGAAGAAGAAGCCGATTCCACCAGTGACGTTCCCGAGCCTTGATGACGACAGCGGGGAAGAATGGCAAACGCGGGAAATGAAATCGCGTTTAAAAAGGTATATTTCAACGACACATTTATCTATTTACGTCTTCGGGTCGTTAACATACATCTCATAATACAATAGCAAGTCGAACACATTTAGGTCACGAGCGTTTTCCATGACGCCACGGCTTTGCATTGATTCCTATGTATCCCTCTGTTTTAGGAGACTATTGCCAAACTGTTGACTCGCTCTTTTAAGGAGGACAAAACCAAAGGTGAGAAACGGGGTTCACCTGTCAATGTGGTGAAATGAGAGAAGCTGTTGACGTTATGCGTTTAAAACGTCCCTGCACGTCAAATTAAGTTTTGTTTCTTTCTTCCTCGTCGTCTTTTGATTAGAAAACCTGTCATAACGAAACGCATCATTATTGTTCTTAATTTTGATTGTGGCCTGGAGTGCTACTTACATTAATACGAAAATGAAACAAAAACCAAACCTTTAGTGTTCCCAGCTGAACATCTGACAGCACACGTACATCAGTGACGTATATTTGATGTGCCTGTTCACATCTGGAAGAAGTATTTTATTTTTATTTTTTTCTCATCTGCAACACGTCCCTATAGGACGTTTCCTGTCAGATGTCAAATAGACGTTTAGAAGATGTCTTTAAGATGTTTGTGATTTAGAATACAGTAAAACTGACATCTTAAAGACGCAAGATAGCACAAGATGTGATGTTTACATCCGGAAGACGTATTTTTAAGAGTGTTTGCTCATCTGCAAGACATCTATAGGTCGTTTCCTGTCAGATGTGAAATAGATGTTTAGAAGATGTCAGTTTAACATACATTCTAAATCGGAAACGTCCTATAGACGTATTGCAGACCGTAATAACCTTTTTTACTATTATTCTTTAATGCTGTGTTGGAATGAGGCGTTTATATAAATAAACTCTCAGGAAGTGTTCTTCACTTTCACTGAACTGGTTTTGGTGTGTGAGGAGTCGGATAAAGACAGACACATTGCAGCTACTTGTTCTCATGTCAGCGTTGGGTCATGAAGGTTTTCTTTCAGTAAGTAGTGATGCTGTCATCCTCGTGACAGAGATGCTGAAGGTGTTTGTTGAAGGTGAGAGACTTTACCTTTCACGGATACTGTGTGGTTTGGTTTCTCCCAGTATTAATGTGAGGACGGTGTGTGTGTGTGTCACAGAGGCGACGCGCAGAGCTGTTAAACAGGCCAGCATTGAAGACTGCGACACCGTCGATATTGAGCACTTTGAGAAGATTCTGCCACAATTGGTGAGTTTTGTCTGTTTTTACTTGTGTTTGAGATATCTGTTGTTATTTTTAAAGGGGCCGTATGATGCTCTTTAATGTTTTCCTTCAGTGTGTGTCATGGATATGTTTGTGCCTGTATACGATCTGCAGAGTTACAAAGCTCATAGTCTCCTGATTTACACTCGAACCAAACTTTATTCAGACACATGCGAGCGGCCAACCGGATGTGATGTATTCTAATAAAAACTATGAGCGCGAGGCTAGAATTACCAATATTTTAACTCTTTAGTGTTTTTCTGTAAACGTTAACTCTGTTAAATGTTGGTTATAATTAACTATAGCAGAAAAAAAAACATATTTTATAATTATTAAATCGATGTTTATATTGATTAGAAATGTTTTTAATTGGGTCATTTGTTTTGTGTAGATATATTCATGCATGCATTACATTTATTAAAATCATTAATTTTACCATTGTGAATATCCGAGGGCAGGGGCGATTGTAGGATTTTTTCAACTGGGGGGCACAAGAGGGGCCACAATTATTACAGAGGGGCCATTCTTGTGTTGTGTATTTATGTAGAACTGTAGATATCCAAATGATTTCAAGTTCAGTAAGCTTTAAAATCAGCAATAAACTGTGATACCCTATTATCTTTTAATAGCAGTTATTCACTGCTCTAAATCAAAACAATAAAATACAATTTATATTAACTTAAAACTGTAATAAATGAAATAATCCAATGTATTAGTGTACAACTCACAAATAATAATAGAACAGCCTTATTTATATAAATGCATAATTATATTAATCATTGATATAATAAATACACAATTAATGAATTCATATAACTGTAATAAAATTGTATGTAATAAATATTTTTTTTTTTTCCCCACATCCTATTTAATTTGCATATCAGCAGTTGCAGTGAATTTGCATTGATGAGTAGACCAAATCTACTTATGTCAAGTAAGGCTAATTAGTCTTGAGCATATTGATTGTAAAATATCAAATATCAATACTTTGTTAGATTTTTCAAAAAGGTACCTTTAGTTTAACATAAAATATGTGGATCATAGAAACAGTTTAGAATGACTTAATTAATCCAGTGTATTAATTATTTATTTTGCTATTTATTCATGCATTTTTATTTTTGTCACTTCTGTGAAAAGAGTACACACACCAAATTTGAGATTAATTTTATTCACTTTTTTGCTTGACACACAATTCAATCAGATTGTGCCACAAGAACAGTAAAACAACAAGAAAAGTAAACATAGATACAGAAATTACATACAACTCTATTTTAGCCTCACAACTGTAAATACTGACCAAACAAAAACAACAACAACAAAACCACTGTCCTACAGACTAAGTAGTGGATGTAGTTCATTTTCTAAGTACAATGTGACTTGTAATAGGTTTATGTTTCTGGTTCATTTAAAAAAAGTACAATCCTGCGATTTGTATGGTTGCTGCTAAAACGGTTTAAAAACTCATCCATATTTAATGCTTTTGCTCGTCTTGATTCAATGCTCAAAACCCCTAGATGGCTCAGTCTCTCATCCCCCATTGTTGTTCTGAGATGGTTTTTGATCAACTTAACCCCTTAACGTCTGAATTTATATAGCTGTATATATATATAAAAAAAAAATGTTTTATGTGTGTTTTTGCCTTTAAGTAGATGGTAAATAATGTTGAGATTATCAATTTCACTTTTGCACAACAAATAAGTAGAAATTTTGGTATGTTGCAAATCTGCAACAGCGGGCGTTATGGTCAATTTGGTATGTTGCAAATGTTGCAAATGTTCCTGACCGGAGAAATCCTCGTGCGTAAACAGGAAATAAGTCCGTCACTTTGAAACAAGTGCTTGTCGAAGGTCCTAGATCCGTAGTGAATATGCACAAACCGGCATTGGGGGAATGCAGACGTTATCTCGGCTGGTTGACTGAGTCAAATGGTTTGTTGCATATTTGCGACAGTGGGCGTTAAGGGGTTAAGTGCTGAAAAGCTACGTTCACATGCAGCACTGCTTACAGGTGTTACAATGGCTATCTTGCACAGCCTGAAAAGCTCAAGCTTTCTTTCCTTTCCAAAACCCTTTTGGTCTGATACAGCTCATGCTTCAAATCTCCCAATATTTGACTCAAAAATTGCAGCAAATGAAAAAAGTGGTTCTTCATGCAAGAAGGTGCTGCTTTTAGGGTGGAGTGCTTGGATTTCGTGCATAATTTCACAATTGCTCTTAGAGAATCTTCTTTGCAGCTCACTCATGAATGAGTCAATCACTGGATAGAGTATTTGTCTTTTAAAGGCTTCCTTGTTACCCAAGTTATCTCTACGTGCACCAGTTGAGGAAGTGATTACGGATCCACACAACCTGCTGCTCGGGATCTGCGGTCTCTTTTCCGGTTTTTCTAAACTGACTTGGCACTTTACAACCATTTCCTCCACCTCTTTCCACATGTCCTCAAAAAAAATACTACTGCAGTGTGTCAAGCAATGCTTCAACCAGATTAACAGCTGTTCCCAAGTCCACTGAAGGTGACTGGAGCATATCGGACAAAAATTTTGACTGGCCAAGTATTGTATTGTGTTGAAGGTTGCCAAAAGCCCAATAAATGTTAGATCAAGTTGTGCTAGTAAGCCTCGTGCTTCCACTGAGCGATCCCCACTACTGTCACAAATAATCTCCCGAAGAAGACGAAATACAGCAGGGAGCCTATCTGTCAAATTGCGACAGGCTGAATGCCTACACGCCCACCTTGTGTCACTTAATTTTTGAAGTTCGCGAGGTTGGCCACTGTACATGTCCTGCTGAATTTCAAGCCACCTTTTACTGTATGTACATATGAGCCAGATATGAAAGTGTAAAGCCTCTGAAGAACTGCAAAGAATGTATCTGCTTCAGGTACAGACTCAACACTGTCTATAAGTACTAGATTTAAACAGTGAGCAGTGCAGTGTATGTAAAAGGCATATTTTGCCACATCTTGGATCCTTTTGGAAACACCTGATACCCCTTTTCCACCCAAAAAGAACTGGTTCGGAACTGGTGCTGGTTTAAAGTTGGTTCGGAGTTGGTTCAACTTGCGAACCCGTTCAGAACGTGTTTGTTTTTCCACTGACTAGAGCGCCCAGGGAACGACGTTGTTGCGTCACTGTACACATCGCTAGAAACGCTTGCTTACATTGCTTTGGGATTATCTCTAACTCGTGTACCAAGAAAACTTTAAAAACAATTGAAATATGTAAGTCTTTTAATCTTTTCGTTTGATATGTAATCTTTTCTGATAAGTTATGTACCCCTGTCTTTTTTCTTTCCATTTATTTGTTCTATATCGTGACAGTTCTCTTCTTTGCTTATGTTTCAAAAAAACATCGACTCCATCGTGTTTCTGCACGTGTTTCGTGTTTACAGCACATCTAAACCCGGCCCAGCCCCCGACGTAAGCATGATGTGGTAAAAGAACGGTTCTAGTCCAGCGAAGAGTTGGTGCCGCTTTGGAACCAGTTTTCCCGGCCGAGAACTGGTTCTTTGGCTGTCGAAACACAAAGAACTGGTTGGCGCGCAGGCACCGGCTCCGAACCGGCTCTCAAAATGCTTTGGTGGAAAAGGGGCTTGAGTGTCTCCCACTCATAACGGCAGCACCATCATAACCCTGCCCCACTAGATTGGTCCGATATTCAAGGCCATTCTTTTCAAGGCACTTGATTATCATGCTGCTTAACCCTGCTGCATCTAGGCTCTTTAAAAAACTTTTATGTACAGTGCCATTGTAATAATATCTTAAAACCAGAGACACCTGCTCCTTTTTCCCTAGATCTTTTGTTTCATCAGTGATGACACTGAACACTTCACTGTCTTTAACTTAGCTGCAGTCTGACATGCACTTCTCAAAAACTAAGACTAATTGAGTGAACATGGAGCACTTTTTCCGTGAGTGGGAATTGAAAAACCGGAGTGGACCAGAGCGAAGTGATTACAGAATGCTTTGAGTGGAGAGAGAAACGTGCTTTCGCTCCACTCCATGCTTTATCACATCCCCCTCGACAGGGTGAATACACATCGTCTTTCCTTAAAGAGTGACTAAAGTCTAAACCAACTTTTTTTAGTTAATGATCTGTAAGAATGGATCTTTATTAATACCAGTCATTGATTCGAGTAACTTTTTTGACATTTGTTTAAAGAAAGTGTTTTATTTCTACAATATATGGTGTAAAAACGTCTTAGTGCTGCCCTCTTCAGGTTGAACGGTGGCTACTGCAGTTGAATTTTCCTATTTGATGTTCCGCACTTTGTGACGTACGCAGGTTTCAGCTCACCACGCGAGCTACGCCCTTGGCAGTATAAAAACCATCTTGTTTCATCAAAACCACTGTAGTGAGTCAGGAATTGGAATTGCGAGTATTGAAAACGACCAGGATAGAGTGTTTTAGTATCTATTACGTCTCCTCTATCTCCACTGGGGTCTGCCCACTTTTTCAGCATTTTCAAATATAGCCAGTGGGTGGAGTCAGGGTCTGACCAGGGGTTTAGTTACCCTTTAATTTGACCTATTCAAACTAAAATTAAGACATTTATCCCACTGTTTGAGAAATGAAAGTCTATTTACGGCCTTAAAATTATGAAAAGTTAATTTAAGACGTAAGGACAGACGGGAACCCTGCAATTGACGGGTATCCGTCTGCCGTCATAGACTCGCAGAAATTAACGTAAATCAGTCGTAGTGACGGAGAACCTTGTTACATTCAGCCTCAGGACAGGAGCATAATAAATGTAATGATTAGCATCTTGGTCTGCTCTAAGAGAATACCGGTACATCAAGCCTGGTCGCACTCCTAACACTGAAAGACGGACGGTACTAGAGCCAGACCAATATATATCGGCAGACCGATATTATCGGCCGATATTAGGCATTTTCCAAACTATCGGTTTCGGCAGTTATAATGGCCGAAAAATGAATATTTCAAAAATAAAATAAAAACGGACGAAACACGCTTGAACCATGTCATGAGTGTTGGAGTTGTATAGTTTGTCCACCAGAGGGCACTCTACACCGTCCCTGTTGGCAACACTCGTTGAGTTGGTCACTCACGATACATACATTGCTTGAATAACAATTAAAAGAACATCCCCATCAGTTCTCTTAACTCAAATAAGCATGACAAAAATTGTGACTTATCATGTCCAGTTTAAAAAATAAAAAAGTAAATGAATAAAATATCGGCCGATATATCGGATTTTAAAACCCAAAAATATTTGTATCTGTATCGGCCTTCAAAATCCTTTATCGGTCGGGCTCTAGACGGGACCAAACTCTTGCACTGCAACAACTCGCTAATCGAAAAAAGTAACTTAAGCTGTATAAAATAGAGCAACTTACCGTGTGTTTTTTTTCATTTGGAAACCAATTGGCTTTCTATTCTTGATCTTCGTTGAGGAGCATCGCGACGCGGATTGTACTACAAACTGAAAGATTATGATTTGAATTTTTGAGTGACAGACAAGTAGAAGGGTGGGGGCACACTGCCCCCATGGCCCCTCCCCTGTCTACGCCACTGTCCGAACGGTTGCTTCACGAACAATTTCAAAGTTCCGTGCGACTGACACTAGGGGGCGAAATGCGACAATCGTATGCGGATGTCGTGTGCAGTGGAAAGGCAGCTTAATGCATCCTTGAAGAATACAAGTATTAAATTATCTCTTTTTTTAAATCTTTCCACAAATGTTTGAATGGTATCATTGTTTCCACATAATTGTTAAGCTATAAAAAACATATTTCACCTGATAAACAATGTTTCTTGATCATAATATAACGATTTCTGAAGGATCATGTGACACTGAAGACTGGCGTAATGATGCTGAAAACTCAGCTTTGATCACAGCAATACATTACATTTAGCTATATATTCACATAAAAAAATATATTTTAAATTGTAATATTTCACTATTACTTTTTCACTGGAGTTTTGATTAAAAAAATCAGCCTTAGTGAGCAGCAGAGACTTCTTTCAAAAACAGAAAACAATTGTAATGTTTCCAAAACCCGTCCTGTATATTCACATCATTAATATTGAATTATTGAACAAACAGAGCGTTGTTTCTCTAAAAGCTGACTTTCTTAACCCTTATGCTGCATTAGGGACATTTTTGGTCTTTTGCAGTTTAATTTCTTTGACCATTTTGGCTGTTTTAATGCAAATGGTATGAAATTTGGCAAAATTGTGACTTTTTGGATACATGTAAAAAATGTGATCCCATTTTGCAAAATATGTATAACACACACTGTGTAGATCAAATAGTAACACTCAGCACCATAAAGACCAAAAATGGCCCATTGAAACCCATTAAAACGTTGTTTAAATCTGAGGCTGTCAGTAATACATGAAACATGATTTTTGCACAAACATCCTTTCATTTTGAAGCAAAAGCATTATATTTGCATTATATAGTGTATTCCACCAGATGACGTCACTACATATTTATTCCCTATGGGTGGAAATGCACCTTATTTTAGGCAATAGGCAATGTTTAATAGGTGGCCATTTTTGGTCTCTAACGCGCTAAGTGGGGTTTTTTGCAAAGTGGGACTGTGATAATCCAAATCTAAAGTTTTCTCTTTGCATTTAGTTTATTGAAAATAATTGAATTTTTGTGTTTTTTCCTCTTATACAAATCGATGGTTTCGCAAACAAAACTGGTAATTAAAGGGTTAAAATCCTGAAATTGAATACATTTTTGGTAGTTATGATGAGGACTGATGCTGGTTAAAAGATTTAACTTGGTAAAAGTGGAAAATAATAATAATATATAATATTTTAGGCAATGTTTAATATGTGGCCATTTTTGGTCCTTAATGCACTCAACGGTGTTAAAAATCTTGGATTTGGATTTGGAAAATCATCACAGTTCTGTTCAGTTATCCGTGTTTATGTGCTTTTCCTAAACCTTAAAATCCCCTCAATCTGTCATATTGTTTCATTTTGTGTGTTGCATACTAGCAAAACTATCATGATTTCTGAGCATGTCTCATTTTCCATTGCAGCTTCTTGACTTCTAGTCTCGCTGTGGAGACACCAGCAGATGGCGACGCTACCCAGTTCTGCTAAACACTCATCCTGGACTTCACTTTTGCATATTTACAGAATTATTTTGACTGTGTGTATGTATTAAATGTATGACTAATAAAATGCTTCAATCTGTCAAACGTTGATATTGTTTAGCGGTTTATTTCTGTGCATGAATCGCTGGGTAACAGCGCTTTTATTATGGTCTGGAGTCTCTGTGGGCCACCTGTGCTCCGCTCAGCGGCAGGTGCTCCCAGCATGCTCTGCTCCGGCCCCCATCAAAGCCTCTCCAAGCAGTTGGAATTGATTAAAGTAATAAGGAAGGCAGCAAAGACCCTTAGATGATGACAAGTGGCAGGAAAAAGAAGCACCCCCTCCGGCCACTTTGAAGTTCCCATCCTTCCCCTCGCTGTCCTGCATAGTGCTGCGGTTAAAGGTGTCACAGGGGTGAGAGGGCAACAGGCCGGAATGTGTGTGTGTGTGTGTGGAGAGAGAGTGTCAGCCTGTTAAAATTATGGCGACCACACGCATAGTTGTTCAGTTTTAGTGGAAGCATAACAAAACAAATTGGAACCGAGGAACATGACACAGGAAGAGAGGGGTGTAATTTTGAGGGTAAATAAACAAGACGTCGAGTCGCTCAAGGGGGCTCCCGGTCTTTCATCGTGTTGCTCTGATAATTGCGCTAACCTGCCGCCAGAGAGTTTCCAGTAGTGAATGAGGGGTTTGCTTGGCATGGGTTTGTTGTTGGGTAAGCAGAGCACAAGGAAAGATCAACATGTTGGATTTTGTTAGATCCTGTAGTTAAGGACAACAGCAACAAAATATTACTTTTATGTTGGATACAAGCCTGTTTGCTTACATTGGGGTTTCTATATTAATGGAAAGGCTCAAAATACTGGGGTATTTCATAATTGTGGTTTACAGGTGTGAAAAAATCCATTTCTTTAGTGAATATACTTTTTTTCTAGTTATGTTCAGCTATGTAAGTAGCACAGTTGTCGTGAATACACCACTAGCTGGAGTACCTTGGTTTTATAATATATATATGAAGAGTTCAGATGCAAAAGCCTCTAAGTGCCATTTGAAATTTTATTCTAGAATGATCATTTTTATCAAGCTTGTATATTTAAGTTCAGTGATTTCACTTAAATTGCAATGATAATTACCTATTAATTGTTATTTAAGTGAAATTACTGAACTTAAATATACAAGTTTGATAAAAATCATCATTAAAGAAGAAAATTTCAAATGGCATTTAGAGGCTTTTGCATCTGAACTCTTCATATATATATATATATATATATATATATATATATATAAATTTAACTTTCATTAAGTAAAATTATTATAAAAGCCTTCCTTAAAAAAAACAGTCCCTGACCAACATGGCATCATGACTTTTGCGTAAACATGCACGCCACTTTCAAGTCAAGTGCCGTGTTATCTATACGCATTTTGAGCTATCTATGCATGTCTACGCCGCGAAATGTCCGAGTGATTCCGCGTGTATGTACAATCTCCGAGCGAAACGAAGCAAAATGTAAATCTACAGCTGGGGAGCGATATTTTTTTTTTCCTAGGATGGTAGCCCAGGCAGCAAACTGACATTGAATCAACGTGGAAACGACGTCTCTCATGACATTGAAACAACGTTGATTTTGCTCATCGAATTAACGTTGAACCAACGTCAGACGCGGCATTCTTCAAAGCTAAATGAAAATCGAAAATTGGTTTGCTTTCATAACGTTGAAACAACGCGTTGATTTCAAGTTGATTTTCCGTTAGTTTTGAAAGAATGACGCGTCTGACGTTGGTTCAACGTTAATTCGATGAGCAAAACAATGTCAGATCAACGTTGTTTCTATGTCATATTTCCACGTTGATTCAATGTCAGTTTGCTATCTGGGAGGGGAAGACTCATAAATGCTATTAACCCCAGTGACGGGGTTGGGGTAGGTCATTGTATATACAGTAATGTAACGTTACGTCAACGGCGTTCATAAACACGCTGAAAAGAGATTATGCGTGTTGATAGCACGCCAAAAATGGAAATAGGAATTGGCGTGTCATACATACGCCATTTCATGAGATCAGTCTAACAGAAGTTACAGTACAAAGACTGTCTTTATGAGTCAGTCAGTAGTGAGGACTTTTTTATTGAGAGGACCAAAACTTGTGAACATTAAAAAGCAATATACAAATGTCAGGGCACGGAAAACCCCTGTTAAAAGGACAAGGTATTGCAGCGAACATTCAAGCAGATTTTTATTACAAATATAGGACCGACCTGAAGGAAAATGGATCTCTACTCTAAATGCAGATACACTCACTTATTCGATCTCTCACAGTTCTGTAGTACTCTATAAGCTTCAATGAACAATATCAATGAGAACAAACAAATGTTTACGTTGCTAAGAGTGGTTGTTACGGGTGTTGTGATATATAGAACTGATGAGTGAAGCCAAAGTCCGTTTTTATCTCTGACGTTTATAACAAACCAAACCGTTTGAAAATCGGTAGAAAATTGAGCAAGTTATGGTTATTTAGAAAGTACATGCACCATTAAAACACAATGTTATGAGTGAGCGTTGCGAGCTGCCTGTGGCAAGATGGCCGCCCGGTGCAGACGTCGACCTCCATTGGCGAGAAGCGCAGACGAGACATCTAGCCTTTATTGTGGATATCTATGATTACACCTGTAGCTTTAAATGAGCAAAAGCCATCCAAAATAAATGAATATCAATATTGTGTCATATAATACACAAGGTTTGCATGTTGGGCATAGTGAGGCAGATAAATCTCGCCGCTTTGTGGTGGATAAACTTCTGGAGACATGTACTGTGTGTTCAAGAGACTTTAGATTCTAGATTTATACAAAAGGCATAATTCTACAAATTGTACGTTTTATTAATGCCTCTTTGATCGTGTAAATCATGGGCAATTATTAGTTACTCAATAGAGGAGTTTCTGAATTCCTAGTAAGAATTTTGGCTTTTTGGGACGCTCATCAGTCAATGCATGTGAAATGGGGTAATTTTGTGTCTGTTCCATTTAATGTATGCAATGGAGTCAGACATGGAAGCATTATGTCCCCCTTTCTCTTTAATGTTTATACGGATGATTTATCGAAATTGCTAAACAGCTGTGGAACTGTTTGTATGGTCAGTAACACTATCCTCAACCACTTCATGTTGGTTGGTTATCTTCAGTCCATATAGTGCTGGCCTTCAACAGTTATGAGGATCTGGCTCCGATTTTGACTAGGGTTGGGTATCGTTTGAATTTGAACGATTCTGATTCCGATTCCTTGTTTCGATTCCGGTTCCTAACGATTCTCGATTCCGATTCTTTTAAGAGGCAGGGTCAAAAAAGTTTAGCTAACCTTGCTAACCAACGGCCTTTCTGAAGGAAATACTCTTTCTGTAAAAATACTCCTTTTGTCACAAATTTTGCATTTTGCCGAGATTTCTTTATTTTTAGAAAAGTGAAGCCACACTTTGGACCGCCGACGTAAGCTACTTATATTCGACTCGCGCGATTATGCCAACACTTCCGGTAGACGCTTCTTCGTTGGTGTTGTTCAGCGGTTTCTTCTTCCGCTCGGCGGACTGTGAATATCGAAACTAGGAATCGAAATTTTAACTTTTGAACGATTCCGGGAAAAACTAAAAGTTAGTCTCGGTTCCAATCGATTCTCGATACCCAACCCTAATTTTGACATTAAATATAATGCGGAGAACAGTAATGTTATGATTGTTAGGAGTAAGGAGGACAGGAAACTGTTATTTCCTGAATTTTCTCTGTCTGGTATTGACCTGAAGGTATGCGGTGAGGCTAAATTTCTGAGACATTATATAACTGAGGATCTGTCTGATGATAGGAATATTTATAGACAGTGTTGTATGATGTATGCACAAGCTAATACTTTGATTCGCAAATTTTGTATGTGCCCTGGAGCTGTAAAGATGCCACTTTTTAGGGCATACGCATACTGCACTCCGATGTATGCTGGCCATTTGTGGCGGCGCTACAGAAAGAGCAGCATGCAGAAGCTCAATAGCTTATGGAACGAGGCTACGGCTTAAGGTGCCATGACGAAGTCATGTGTTCATTATCAAGTCAATTGACGTATGGCTAAGCCACGCCCCCTCCACTTATTCGGAAAAAGTGTCAACATTCGGGAACAGGCGCTATGGCAGCTGACATTTCACAGTACAACATGACATCATGACTTTTGCGTAAACATACACGCCACTTTCGAGTCACACGCATTTCGAGCTATCCGCGTGTATGCGTGTATGTCTACGCCATTAACGTCCGCGTCATTCCGCGTGTCTGAACACGCAGTCAAATCTCCAGTCATAAATGCCATTAACCCCAGTGACGGTTAAGTTTAGGGACGGGGTTGAGGTAAGTCATATCTTTTTTTTTCCTAGGATGGTAAGGGAACAGTCATAAATGCCATTAACCCCAGTGACGGGTAGGTTTAGGGACGGGGTTGAGGTAAGTCATATATTTTTATAACGTTAAGTCAACGGCGTTCATAAACACGCTGAAAGGCGATTATGCGTCTTGATAGCACACCAAAAATGGAAATACGAATTGGTGTGGCATACACACGCTACTTCATGAGATCAGTCTGCACAGGAGGCAACTGGTGATTTTTGGAGACCGAAAGATTTTAAAGATAATGTTCAAATACGTTGTTGACTTTCTTGTCAGATGTAGACATTCTTGTTTGATTTAACCACGTTTAGTTGCTGTTGTCATCTACCACATAACTAAATCCAGCGCAGACACATTTCTCGGTTGAGATCAAGGGGGTAATCCATCGACCGGAAGTTGAAGCCTCGCGGGAGCTGCCATCTTGTAACAGAACTTCACTTGCGTTAGCATTCCCATTGACTCCCATTCATTTTGGCGTCACTTTGACAGCGAATAACTTTACATCTGAGGCGTTTGAAGACTCCATTTGTCCTTTATTTATTTCTAAAGAAACACGACAATGTATAAATAGCTTCATTACCTTGTAGCTTATGTTATGGCCCCGTAGAAGCAGTTTTAGTGAAAGCAGGCTAACGATTCCGTCATACCCATGCGACTCTCTGTCGCACAGTAAAGAGATTACCGTATGG